GGGGTTTGTTGCCTTAGACAATTTTAATTGTACGTCCCACTTATATTCTCACCAACACTTCCATGTTCATAAATTAATTGACCAAACTCAAACAATAGCCAATCAGCAATGACCAAAGAACATTTCTCACCTGAGAGTCAGTCTCGGCGGTAGAACGCCTGACACAAACGTCCAGTCCCTGGGAGGTGTGGGTCAGGAGATATTCCCTCAGCTGTTCGTCGTCCTCCCCAGCAGCTGACCTCAGGTCATCACTCAGACCGCCAACAGTAAAGCACAGCTTTGTACAATGTAGAAAGGATATGGCGAATGTGATATCTGAACAGCAATCATGATGACGATAATTGTGACGATGATAATGATGATGATGATGATGATGATGATAGTTAATGACAAACACAATCATCATCACCACCCTTGTCACTACACTAGAAAAGCAGTATGAAAGTGAAACTCCTGTCCAATTTAAATCAGTGTACTTTAACATATTCTTGAAATATTTGAATTACAATTGTTTCCATATTTCATAATTTCAACTTCATCAGCAGAGAGTAATTCAAAAAGCGTTCACACACAGTCATAATCATTATCACCATCACCAAGAACCCATACTCACTCTAACAGGCAATGCCGAAACAACCTGAGACCAAAGTGACTGGAAAGTAAATATTTACCATAAATCAAACTCTTGTCTCCCCCCTTCCAAATGCACCCCAAGTAAACATTTATCATCAACCAAACTCTTGTGTCCCCCAAAATGTTCCCCCCTTTCACCTGAACGAGAGCAGCCATATGTTCAAACAGTGGCCACAAGGGAGCCCTCTGGCCCACACAAGTCACATCCGCTTCTACCACACGACATGTGCCACTGTCCGTCGCATCCCCGCCAGCATCATCCATCTCCATGGCAACACCAGCACGATCAGGGAGTAGGCCTCTCACTGACAGGGTAGCTAGGAGCTCACTGAAGTCTGTTGGATTTTACAAAATATTATTTGTTAAAGCAAAAGATACCTATCACTGTAATAAAAGTTTTAAAAAAAACACTGGGGAAAAACAAGGGAGGCAGACCAAACAGCAGAGGGTCTGGAAAGAAGCAGGAAAAGAAGCAATGACTCGCTAGAGGTACTCTCCATAGAAAAGCTGGTAAAGACAAGTACAATTATCCCTTTGGCAGACTTCCCTCAACGAAAAAGGTATTTAAACCCATCATGCTTTTAAAAATAATAATAATGTATGGCATTATATAGCCCTCAAACCCACTTAAAGTACATTGGCTCTGAGTGCTTTACAAAACAACAGTAACATTTACATTGTGTTCTGACCAAAAGAAAATCTCTCTAAATATTTGTCTCATAAATCTAAAAACAGAAACTACAAGCTGACATTTGAATGAATGAAAGGATTTGATTTCTGATTTGATATTTTCCCTCTGAATGCAAGCGCGCATGCAAAAGATGCTAAAGAAGAAATTCTTCCATCAGAACTGGACTTGGACAAATGTGTGGCTCTGGTGGCACTGGAGAAAGACACAGTCATCAGTCAGTCCCTCGTCCTAAAGCTTGTTGCCCCTCCAGCTATCACCTACAAGAAAGATAAATCTTTGAACCTATAATTTTTTAAAATGTTTTTTCCTCCCTTGAGATCAGAGCTGCTACATTTTCTACTCCTCATGTAGAGTTTCTGCTCAACACTTCCATCACTGTGATGCTTTTACTCCCCTATCTACACGATTTGTGTCTTTAGGAGGTGGGCTGCTTTGATCATGCCAGTCTGGGCAAATCCAAAGTTGACTGAGTGGGATGCAATATTCCAAAAGACAAAAGCACCTAATTTGAACATTTTCCCAAATAGGAATCAAACCCACATCCTTTGCGAGAAACATTAAACATTACATCAGAGAGATCAGTCTGGTCCTACTATTTTTGCTTTTTAAAAATAAATAAATTACACACACAAAAATTATAAATTAAGACAATTTTTTGGACAGCCAGCTCATAACCTACCTTGAGCAACATCTTCCTCATCTCTTGAGATCTTCTCAGCCAGTTGCATAATGAGTCTTTTCATGGGAGTATCCACTTGGAGCAAAGTCTTAACCTAAAGGAAAAGAGATAAACATTGAGGTAATATAAAATGTTCACTCACGGACAGTGTCACTGTACTCAAGTCTAAAGCCAGTCAGCACTATAATTACATGTATAAAGGCCACATTTCACAGCAACAGATTAGGAAGGTGGGAATATTGAAAAGAAGGAACAGGCCACACAAGAGAACCACTAACATGTGCTCTCCAATACCAACAAAACAGATCAGAAATCACATTTTAAACTGTTCAAAAAAAATCAAAGACTCTATATGAGAAAGGCACCATTGAGCGAAATCAGAGAATGACAATTGTAACACAAAAATGAAGTAACAGTGTGAATCAATGCCCCC